CCTCTGGTCTACTGAGAAATGCCAGTTTTTCGTAAGTTTTTTTTCTTTATTTTGATGGTTTGTACACAGTTTGATGGATTTCCAGGTCCAGGAAAAGAGTCAGTAAAGGTTTGGAAAAGTTCCCAGTGTGTGAGCATGTGGACCATTTAGCCTCTTTGGTCTCTTAAAAATCCAGAGTCTGATCCAGATTTGTTTCCAGGCATTTCCAGAGTCCAGAAGCAGGTTTTCCAGATGGAAGCAGCCTTACCACAAAGGTCCACCAGGTCTGTAGAGCCTGGAAACAAGAAAAGACAGCAAGTGGTGAGTTCAAATTTAATTTAAGCTTACCTTTATTTGAATATACTAAGTACAAAAGAGGATTCCAACTAAAATTTTGAATTTATTTTCTAGTCATTTAAATATTTTTCAACTAAATCCATTTTAACAGATTCAGTTGAAAAGTATTGAAATGATTGGAAATAAATTCCAAGTTTTGATCCTCTTTTGTAGTTAGTATATTAGTTAAACCTTTAATGTGTTTGACTTTAATTTTCCTTCAAAGTATTAAAGACCTAGTAAAAATAGGATTTAATTTCTGCATTTATTTAGAGTCATGTATATATTAATACCAATCAGTTGAATTGATTTGTTAAATATTTTTCAACTAAATCTGTTAAAATTGATTTAGTAGAAAAATATTTAAATGGTTAGAATTTAATTTTGAATATCCATATTTTGAATTCTCTACTAGTACTTAGTATATTAGTTAAACCTTTAACTTTTTTAGAATATAGTAAGTACTAAAGACCTAGGGAAGATAGGATTTATTTTCTGGATTTCTTTTGAGTTATGTAGCTGGATAACAGTTTGAGTTTTTTTTTTCCAGGCATTTCCAGAGTCAAGAAGCAGGTTTTCCAGGTGGAAGAAGCCTTTTGAGGATTTTATTAGAGTTACCACAAAGGTCCACCAGGTCTGTAGAGCCTCCAGGGGAAGGATGTCATAGAGCCTGGAAAAAGAGAAGACAGCAAGTGGTGAGTTAAAATTATATTTAAAGCTTAAATGTTATGTCTTTAACTAGTAGAATATACTAAGTACTACAGAGAATTACAAAATTGAACTAATTTCCTAGATTAAAGTCTAGTCATTTATATATTTTTCAAATCTGTTGGAATGGATTTATTTGAAAAATATATGAATGCATACACTTTAATCTTGGAAATTAATTCAAATTTTAAATCCTCTCTAGTACTTAGTATTGCAGAGAATTTCCAACTTTGGATGTTGTAGATTAAATTGTAGTCATTTTAACATTTTTCAACTGAATCTGTAAATGGATCTAGTTGAAAAATCTTTAAGAGACTAGAATTTAATCTAAAAAAATCCATAGTTAGAAAATGTCTGTAGGACTTAGTTAAACCTTTAATGTCTGTAGCTTTTTAGAATATACAAAGTCCAAAAGAATAGTTGAAATAGGACTTAATTAGTAACTTTAATTCTGGTCATTTGGATATTAACTCTAATCAGTTGATTAAAGTTAATATCTACATGACCAGAATTAAAATTACTAATTAAGTCCTATTTCAACTATTTTTTTTATGGAGAAGAGTTAAGAGTTAAGAGTTAAGAGTTAAGAGTTAAGAGTTAAGAG